ATTACATTACATAAAACAAAACAACACAAAAAAATAATAAACACATCACCTGTCGGTGCAATCAATCGCTTCTAATTAGAGTTTATTCATGAAAATCAACAAAAAGAGAAAATTAATATTCGATAACATAAGGCAACAAAACAACTCAACCAAACATCACATGTGGGTTAAGGCAAAACGGAGGGGGAAAATCATTATTGACATTAAAAAATACTATTCATTCAATGTATTTATTAATTTTATTGTAAATAGAGGTCGAAATTGTATGAAATAATAACGATTGATAGTCACAAAAAGAAATTCAATTTCAATTTATATGTAAATCCAATTTTTCTCTCTTCTATTCAATAGGCGAACGCAAAGACGATATTAAAAACTTGAAAAGAGATTACGCAAGAAATAAATCGTCCAAATATTGCTGTTTTTGTCGACAAGTGGTCAAACAGAGACCAAACAACAACAAAATGTAATACTATTACGGACTATGAATAACAAGTGCTGTCCAGCAATAGATACCACTCTTCTTATTGACAAATATTTCTTGCTTTGAAATATATGACGAAAGAGGAATGAGAAAAAACAAATCTAAAATATGGCAAAACATATAAGACATGAGACGTTTGAATGCATAAGAAAATCATATTTCAAAATGCGATCCGTGTTCTCAACGGTAGACATAAAACTCATATTTTAATGTATTTAATGCCTCAGAAAACAGTAGAGTCGACACAATATTGATAGGAAATGTCAGCAAAAAAGCCAAATGTAAATATATTTCTATTAAAGAATTAGTATTTAATGAATATAAAAAAGATAACAAATCCTACAAAAGTATAGCTCGAAAACGGCTTTTAATTAATTAAACTTTTGTGACAATTAAACAATTGTGCAGAAAACTGAGCCTTAATTTTATAAATAGCTTTGAAAATCATTTTTAATCTAAACTTCATTCTAAGCGACATAATTATAAGATAACATAATTATTAATTAAAATTATGTTAAATATTAATCAATTTTTACCATTGAATAGATAATTATTTTAGAAACTCTTTACACAATCACTCAAATGGATTAGTTTTGGGATGTAATGAATGAGAAAAAACAATTTATTTGAGAAAAACACAATTAAAAGAGTGGAGCAAAACAGTGGGAGAGAGAAGGGATGAAAACAAATCAAATTACAGAATTGTGTTAATCCATAAAAATTAGTCTCAAATTAGGTTTGGAAAGCATTCATTGTAATCATTTATGAACCACCAAAAGCCTGTCTAACAATTATCACAACTAATACACAACATATGAACACATATTTCAAATTAGATCAACACAAATACCTATTTTTAAAGCCCTTTTGAATAAAAGACTAATAAACTGCATAAATATGACCGCAAATAAGAGTAGCATTTCATTCAATTACTGACAATCTCTGGCGAATTAATTGCAGATGTATTTGAAAATAACTATAAATTTCAATTCTAATGGAAACAGAAAGGACTTGTCTTGGGTTGAAAGTGATATCAAAGAATTCAAACATAGATGTTTGCATAACATCCTGTTAGTCATTCAATAACAAAATGTGGGAAAATTAATTTCTAAATTCTAAACATTTTTGAACAAGATCATATTTCATCATCAAACTACGGATGTGAATATCTCGAAAACTATATGAGATAATTAAAAAATTCTTTCACAGCCCGAACAAGTGTTTGAATAACAATTAAAAACACAACTAAATACTATTGTGACTAATGAATAATGAATGACAAACAATCATTAAAAGTTTTAAACAGTTATTAAAGTATTTTATAAACAAAAACTCAATATGAAAGTGGGGTTGAATTTGAAGCTTTATTTAGTCTACAAAAGGATCTGAAGAGAAACTCTTGAGTTTTTGATTATAATACCGAGTTTTTTGACAATATGTGAATTTTTATAAAAATGGAAAGTAAAACATATTTAGAACACATTTGAGCAATAAAAA